CCGTAGCGATTCTCAGCCACTCGTTCATCAACAACGGGGGAAAGATCATACCGTGCCGCTCGGCCATCGTGGATCTTGGGTTGAATCAAGTCGATCCTGGCCTCGCGCCCGATGGTGCCAAGTGTGCACCCGGAAAGGTAATAATAAAGGAAGAGATTCTTCGAGAAGCGAAGAGAAAGACCTTTTTCTTTTTTTTTTTTTTTTTTTTTTTTTTCCTTTCAAAACGTAACGTTGAATTTTCGTGTGGATTCAGATGTGCGTAAATCAGAAGTGTATGCCGGTGGCCGATCTGCGCGCTTCCGTATCCGGAGGGAAAGCTTGTCCTAATAATTGCGGAGGCAACGGAGTGTGCAATAGCCTCGGCCATTGTCATTGCAATCGTGGTTTCCGGCCACCTGATTGCACTCAGCCTGGCGTGGGTGGATCCGAGGACAGTGGCCCCGCAGAGGATCCGAACGGTGAATTTAATTTTATTCGATTTACTTGATCGTCCAACAGGATATTATTATTATTATTATTATTATTATCATCAATCTTTTATGCTATCGAAACTAATTTGCCATGCTCGTTATATTTGTTGCAGCGAGAAACGATTTCATAATGGCCCTGTACATTATCTTTTTGGGGATCGTGCCCACGATCGCTCTGTCCTCGTTCGGGATTTGGTACGTGAGAAATTCTGGCCAGAACTGGAAGAAGAGCATGATATCAACGTACGTATCTAGCTCCGACCGTGTTACAGAGAAATGCAAGCCGCATGCCTTTACGTCACAGCGCGGTGCTCGCAGGGCGAACTCGAGTCACACGATCGGTAAAAACTTTTACGAGAGGTTCGTCATATTCTTTTCCCCCAGGCGAGAGAATTCGCGTAACGCGAATAAAATATTCACGGTCAGTGACAATATCGAGCCGAAACAGAAACTTCAAATAACGAAAACCGATCTGATCTCGACCACTAACCCGGACGTTATTAACTGTAGCAACAGCATCGAATATAGGAAATCGATGTTGCTCGGAAATATGAATGAGAACACGAGCGGCAAGAGGTGTGTCGCCCCCGAGCCCGATCCATCATCCATCGCTCAATCTCAAACAGTAGAGTCGCAAGCGAGGAGAAATTCTCATAGGTCGGAATTAGGTTTGAAGATAGCTGAACGTATACAACAGATGCAGAAAAAGCCCACCAAGAATATCAAGGGATTGACGGTTAAAACGGAAGTAAAGTTCGAGCATTTGAACGAAAGTCCAAGTAGTAGTGTTGGCACCGCGCCGAGAACAGGTGACCCTCTGTTGCCCCCCGATGGGAAGCCTTACTCGAATACGCCAGCTCCTTTTTACAACAAAAAACCACCACCTCCGCCGGCTCCAGCTCAACATTTAAAGCCAAAGATTTGATTTTATTTTATTTATCTTATTTTCGTTTCTTTTCTCTCTCTCTCTCTCTCTCTTTCTCTCGTTCCTGAACTGAAAACTTTCTTTCAAATTCTTGCTCAATTGCTCTCTTATACCCTTCTCCCTGTCCGGTTTCTCTTTCCAATCGAACTTCACTTTCGACTTAGAAGACATTCCTTTTTAGTGCGAAGGTCGCAGCAGAGCGTTTCTCACGGGAGCTATGACCTTTGCATTATAACCTATATAGTGGGGTTGGCAATAAACGGTGGCGGTTTGATCCTCCGATTTAATCCTTTAGCGTTGTCGAGGCAACCTTGAAGTAGGTACGCTGTGATTTTGTAATAGTCGAAATATATAACGAATATATGCTTGGCCGATTTAGGGCAAGATATGGAGGCGAAGATAATAGAGGTGATGTACTTGATAATTTGCCCTTGTGTAAGAAGGAATCTACGAGCACCGCGCAATTCGTAAGAAAAAAATCCTGTAGATAGTGCACGATATATTTTTACGAATTTATATATTTTAATTCTTTTTTTTTTTCTTTTTTTTTTATACGATGTAACGTAAATATCGAAGCGAATATTTCGCGAATATAAGTGATATATTTATTCATTTATTACTATTATTATTACTATTTCTATATGCTCAAAAAATAATAAATAAATAAATAAATATATATATATATATATATGACGTAATATAGTTTTAGACTGTTATATGTAAATGATTTCAAAGAATGCAGATTACGTCATGTGATAGTATTACCAAAAAATGGGTGATAATGAGAACGAAAATGGCTGTCCAATAACGCGGAGAGATAAGAACTCGTTGTTTCGCCGCATAATTTGCGTTCGATGATATTTTAACAAGCGGATCGGACGAAATGCGGAACGAAGGCACGTTTCGGAAGAAAGTTGAGAACCGTAACACAGAGCATGCATAGAAAATTAATGTGACACGAGCATGAGCATGTGTGAGTTTCTTTTGAGATGGCTTCTGCATTTTAAAATTACTCAACGTCTCGCACTTACAATGGAGTCGACATTAAGTCAGTATTAACGATCGCTCGATAATCTTGAATTTATCATTCTCGATATATTAAAGATACATATAACAGAAATCGACAATCGTTCAATTATTTTTTTTAAGCGAGCAAATTCGTTCGAATTTTACTCGGATATACATATATATGTATATATATGTATACACACGTATACATATGTATATGTATATATATATATATGATTCGAGATAATACTCCACATCGAAATTGCTCAATTACTTGAACAAATCAATATGTATAAGTTTATTTGAATAAACGTACAGTGTTTGATACAAAGTCTAAATAATTTTCTTGTGTAATCGAAAAACTTCCTTCATCCATAGAGAACTGCTTGCCACTAACATTTTTAATCTTCGACTAACGTTCCCAAATGCATCGTTTCTCGCGCTCGCATGCACTAGAAATATTTCCCCCATTTATATGCGACGACGAATGAGTGGATTGTTTTTTTTTTTTCTCATTGCGCGGTTTTGAGTTCCTTTTTTTTTCCTTTATTAAAAAAAAAAGAAAAAACCTGCATGAAATTTTCTTAATGAAATTTCGGAATCGAGGATGAATAATATTTCGAACTATCGCTCGATCCTCGATTCGATCGATATGTAGCTTTTGCGTGCTTTCAACACCTCGATTCCCCCCGGCTTACGATTGTGCTTAAAATTTCAGGACCGATCGTGGCCACAACGGACTGTCCATCAAAACGATCGATCGTTCCAGTCCCTTGCCTCGTAACATCGAAACGATCGATTCTAGTCTGAGTCAGGATCCAGCGTGCGCGAGTTTGTTGCCGAAACCGGATACCGACGAGCGTTACAACAATAATTTGTTCGGCCAGTTCAAAGGTTTCACGATCACCCCGATTA